TTTTTTTTTTTTTTTTTTTTTTTTTAATTGAACAAAAAACTTACCAAAGGTCTCTGAATGTTCAAAATAATGAAAAAAAAAACAGAAAAGAAAAATTAAGAAGTTTGTTATAGACAAATATTGAGAAAGTAGAAGACGACACACAAGATACAAAAGGTTTCAATGCTTTTCAGGCTTAAGAAGCTGGCTGCAAAGTGTCTCTTGGTTTCCCCTCCAGGTGGCATTGGTGAGCAAAGGACACCGGGCTGGATTTGGAAATGCCCTGGTTCGGCATACAGTGCTGGAGTGCAATCATCCAACAACATCGAGACAGAAAGGTTTACACTGGCGTAACAAGCAGACAATCCTTGGCCCTTAGGCTGAGGTTTCCGACAGCTGCTATTGCAACTCGGTACCCAAATTGGGGGGGGTTTCCAAAATCCCAGCTTTTCATTCCTTCAGGTACCCTCATGTTTGTTTGACCCAGTGCTTGTCCAAATTACATTATTCCCAGACACCCAGAAAGCGTTTGGGATGCGGGGAGTGATGTGAGGTGGAAAAATGCATCTACAGGTTACGTCCTTCAGTTCAGATGACTTAATGCTCCGTCTCACTGAGGTCCCTCTGCTCTCTGGCAGTGAGTCCAGAGGCAGTGTAGACCCAATTTAAAGCTCTTTGACACGTATAAAGCCAGAGATGGGTAGAGCAAATTCAGGGGAAATAAGAGGCAGATTTGGGGCATAGCTACCAAATGCGGTGCATTTCCAGGTGTGGCACGTTATGCAAATCGTTTAATGAGCTATTTTGCATGTGCACAACTAATCTGCATGCAGCCACAAACCCAGTCTATTAAAATGATGTGGGTTTTGTTCTGGGGAAAGGAAGTCCCGGTGCACTCACCTACAGGGAAGCACCAAGGCCAGTCTCTAACATGCACGGCATTTATCATCTCTAATGTGGGCCGAACTCCCCAGGGCACCTAAGTCTCCGTGGCCCATGAATGAGCACACGGGCGACTGCAATACATGGGGGTGAACTTTCAGTCTGGAACCAGCAGCTGAACACCACTACACTTCTCTTTCAGACGGGAGCTGCCAAACATCCATTATCTGGCAATAACTTTGCATCCCTATTGAGCTGGGCTGGAGTCACAATGATGACCTGCAGGCACAAGGCTCTGAAACTCATTAGCAATGTCCTGAGGCATCCAGCACCCTAATAAGGGCTAGTGCTACACTTTAGAGAGCAAAGTCTGTTTTCTGGAAAGATAAGCGTGTTAAATTATGTCCTGACATTTCTGAAGCTTGCACAGGCAACATCTCCCACACATTGCACTCAGTCCCAAGCATATACTCAATCTGATGCACTCTGAGCTTAAAGCGACAGCTCCCAGCACACACATCTGAAATACAGGATCCTAAAAATATAGTAATGCTACATCTAGGTATAGCATTAACACTTATTAGGGTGCTGGATGCCTCGGGACATTGCTAATGAGCTTCAGAGCCTTGTGCCTGCAGGTCATCACTGTGACTCCAGCCCTGCTCAACAGAGATTCAAAGCTATTGCCCATCTTTACAATGCTAACAGTACTACAGTGAACTTCTTGAGGCCTTTTCATCTGAGAATAGACAAGAGCTTCAGGAACAATTAAGCAAGTCTGACAAAACTCTTGTGAGATCTTATCGAGGGTGAACGGAGACACAGGGAATCAGTGGTACCCAGGGCATACAATTTCCAGTGACTTTGGCATCTTGAAAGAGGCCACAAAGTGGGTCAGAGTAGGAGTATCTGGATGCCAACACTCTGCTCTATGCATTAGACCGAGTCTCTTTCCCAACGTGGAGGTAGACATGACAGGTTTGTTAAAAAGACAAAAGGGAGATTTCAGTGGTTTGCCAATGCCCTGCTTCAGGAAGACTGAGGTCTAAATGGCGATTCCACCCACGACTCCCCTGGACCAGGACAGGAAGCGCTGCAATTCTAGGTTACTTTTTCCTACTTATGCTAGCAGATTTTTGCATTGGAACAGAGAGACCCATTTCACTTGTCGCTTCGAGCCTCTGTATGTTGAAGCACACGGGGTTTTGTTGATCAAGTGTGATGTTAAGCCAGCCCACAAAAGCTGCCCTGGATTGGGACCACAGCAAGTTTCAACTTCTGGGTCATATGGGCGAGCCCGCTAAAGCTCTCCGATTTTCCAACTGCTGCAGTGGAATGTATAAGTCAAGCTTTTCCATTGAAATAATAAACACAAGCGGGCTGCATTTCCAAACATGCTTCATAATTATGGGTGTTCTCAGTTATGGTTGCAACATCTTAAAGGGACCTGACGTTTACAGGGCAGAAGATGCAAGGAAAAAGAAAACTAAAGCTTCTGTTCATCCTGGGCAACATTTTCAAAAATGACTAAGTGACTTAAGAGGCTAAAAGCTCATTGACAGGTTGTAAGAGGTTACGTTTCTCGGGCATCTTTGCAAAGCCTATCAGGTAAATTTTGCAAATGCCCTATTCCTTTATTAAAGTAAAATCTGAATTTTGGGCTTTCAGCTAAGAAACCAAGGCCTGTTCAATAAATGCTGTGTAGTTACAGCACTCTAGAAATCAAAGCATATAGAAATGCATCCTTCTGGGCAGGCATAGAGCAATAGGCTGCAAAGCCATCTAACAGGGGAAGGAACAGTATAGTTGGAGGGGGAGTCAAGTGAAGAAATGAGCTGTTATTAGTCAATGCTGGCCTCTAGCACCAAAAATCTTTAAACAGACCCCGTGCCAAACAAGACAAAAGGCAATTAAATTGTCATGTTCTTTGAAATTCAAATCTAACATCATAGGAACCAGGTTTGATGATTTGGAAGCCAGGGGAGGTCTGGGCAGAAGCAACTGGCTATTTTCCCCTGGCTAACTTGGAAGATGTCCGATGGTTAGAAAAGGCTCCCCACAAAACAACCCCGGTTCCCACGCTGAATCCTCTGGGCTCTTTCCCCTCCACTTACCCTGTCCCCATGCCAGGAAAAGCTCTTATGAACATTCCCGCTCTCCTGGCCAAATATCAGTTCGCTCATCTGGGCAAGTAAACTGAGGGTTGTTCCTGCTAAGCCTAATCAGATAGCTGTGTGCTCTCTAGCTAGGGTTAAACTAGCAAGTTCAAGTGATGGCAATGCATCCAAAAGGTTTCCTTTGTGCTGGCTTCCTTTGAGAAGAGAAGCCCCCAAAGGCAACTTCACGTTTGCAATTATTGGAGAAAGGAAAGGTTTTGGGGTTTGTTGTTGTTGTTTTTTGACTGGACAACATGACGGTGCACTAATCAGTGGCTTTCTAATATATAAGTGCACACGCGCACACACACACACACTTTCTATACAGACACACTTACACACCATGTGTACACTGGGAGACTGGGTGAGCGTACAAAAGCACTCCTGAAATGTGAACACTGACAAATGCCACGGTAACGCTCACAAAACTTAAAAAAAGGACAGATGGACGAGCAGATGGGGGAAGACAGGGAACTGACAACAGCAACAGAGCTGGGGTACATCTGTTCGTGGAGCATCATTCGATAGGGCACTGCCACCCACTACCTAAGGTTCACATGAGAGTGCCTGGCGCTGCTTTCTGGTGATGGCGTCAGGAAGACGACGTATCCCTAAGGGCTTCGAGGCAAGAAGCATCCTGCAGGAGCCATGCTTCTGCCGCAGATGTGAAAAGGGCCCACGCTAGATGCAACAGGGCATGGCTCGAGTGGATACGGTCCTGATGGCAGGGCGTGAAGCCCCATGCTCAGTGTTGTCACCTTCTCTTCCTGTACTTACACAGCTCATCGCCAGAGCAGGCAGACCCCCTTCCAGGTTGGCAGAATAATGTTCCAGGAGCATTGCCAAGCTACACGATTCCCCGAGATGGGAACCAGTTTCTTCGCAGAGTTTGCTTTCCTGTCAATCGACTTGGTGGTGGTACAGGCAGCAGGAGAGGAAGGAGGAAACAACCATCACCTACCTCCTACTCTGTGGGCAGGCGAGTCCCAAATACCCTGAAGAGCTCCACACCGTTTTCCAAGCCCCTCTCTCAAGGGAAAATTAAGAAGTGCTAAGGTCCTAGGTCCACGGGCTGATGGGGTCGGCAGCCACCAGCCACCATTGTGAGCAGAACGTGCTACAGAATCACTCTCTTCCCAGCCATCGCTAGGATTTATTCTCTGGGCCAAGCACCCAGGGAGACCTTACCTGATCTCAGCTGCTTTATCCTCCCATTGCTGGCACTGGGGTCAACAGGCAGAAAATCTTTAAACCAGGTGATCTCGGGATCTGGGTTCCCGCTGGCCGCACACAGCATCGTGGCTGTCCGTGTACGCTCCACCACCTTCAGCTGGGGCCCCATGTCGATATTTGGGAAGCCAGGAGGCAGCTGGTCCTCTGTGGGAGGAGAGCAAAATCAGAAGGGGTTTAGTGTTCGTCTAGGATAAAAAGATGGAAGAAGGAGAACCAAGGTGAGGACTTGTCTAGTTCAAATCCTGACCCTGAATCCCCCTGCTAATTCTTGGGGCCTTTTTGTGCGGCACCAAACCTTGGAGGCATCAAAAAGCTCCTGCCATCCCAATGATCCAGGGGAACTAACAGACAAAGGAGATGAAAATCTCTTTTGGCTGTAGTTACTGGAGGGACATCTGTAGCAACAGGAGGCAAAGCGCTTTCAGAAGGGGTATGATTTTTAGGTTTATTAATTATGATTGCTGCTGCTCTACAACAGAGGGTAGAAGCAAGAGCTCTGTGATAGCTTGCAGAATTTCCCTCTTGCTCTCAAGCCTGCCCTTGAGGCCTTGTCTTAAATATGAACACACAAAGGCATTGCCTTAACTAACTCCTGATAAGCAATGTGAAGGGAACCCCTCAGTGCTCTGCGGTCCTTTCCTCAACCCGCTTGCTCATGTCAACACTACAGTTTGCTAGGATTCACATATTGGCTAATGCCCATGTTTTTCTTGTCCGTTATTTTAACGTCCATTTTTTCCGTCAGTGTAGCTACAGGACTACAGACCTAGTCTGGTATTAAAATAGTATTATGGTAAAATGGACGTTAAAATAACGGACAAGAAAAACA